AGACACTTAGAGTCTACTTGATGGGGAAGGGTGGGAGGAGGGAGAGGAAGAGAAAAGATAAATTATTGGGTACTGGCCTTAATACCAGGGTGATGAAATAATCTGTACAAGAAACCCAACTGACATGAGTTTAGCTATGTAACAAAGCCTTCAAATGTACCCCCACACCTGAAAGTTAAAAAAAAAAGAGCACTACCAAGTAGCACTTGTTAACTATTTTATATTCTATTAGATGGGTACATTATCTTGGTTTGATCTTTGAAAATTGCCTAAGTAGTACACATAAATTATTTAAATGTGATATAGATTACATTACAATATCTGAAAGGATATTAAAGTATTTGTAATTCTAGAAAATTTTTGAAAGACTGCTATATAGACATGTTAATGATATGGTTTATGATTTTCCATTGATATTGAAGAAGCAGTCGAGAAATATGACTTTTCTCGCTATCATCTCAGTGCTACTATATAAAATAGGAATAATGATGGTACCTGCCTCGTAAGGTTGTTGTGAAGATAAATGGCAATAAATGTTAGCTACAACTATTACTGGAACATTCAACCATTTTGGACCATATAACCTGTTGCTATTCAATCAGACCGAAGTCCTTAAAATACCATCTCAAAATTTATATTGTTCAGAGGCAAGGAATGAATCTATATTAAGAATGTTAAAGATTTTTATCATGAAGATAAGTCAACGTTACAGTCAACACTTTATTTTATCAAAATAATTATCCAAGCTAATAATGCATATCTGTGAAGTGTAATGAATTTCAATCCACTCGCATCAAGCTGAATAAAGGTTATAATAAACAAAGCAATCAGTGTGACTTCTGAGAGAGACATTGATCAAACCCTTGGACCAACACAGCCAACAGTTTAGTCCAGGGACATCTGTACTCTATGAATCTTTTTTGGATGGTAGATAGCTCCTGCCAGGAACAGAACAAACTGTTTTTTTCAATGTGATCCCCTCCTTCCTATTTCCTAGTCAGGGAAGAGTAATTGCCATAGATTTGTTCCAAAAAAGTGAGATTAAGTGAACAGTTTGATTGTATTTAAACTTGGCAAAAAAAAAAAAAAAAAGGAAAAGAAGGAGCAATGAATGCAAAAATAATTCAGTTGGGATTGATCTGGAATGGAATTTTACAAATGGTTTATGCACCCTAACTGGGCAAAGTATACCTTCAATTTCTCATGGAAGAAATTCATTACTTGCATTTTATGGATGAGTAGTTCAGAGTTTCTAAAAGGGAGAAATGTTGGTATTTTGGGTGGAAGAATTATTCATTACGAGGGGCTGTCCAATGCCCAGTGTATCCCATTTATTTATTATCTGTCTCCTGGAGTACTAAATGCTGGTGATTCCCCCAGACAATCTCCCTTCTCCCCACTCCCAGATTTGCAAACTTTCCAGGAGATGGGTAAGACCACTGTGTTATTAAATGAAGAGATAAAGAGGAGTATTCACATAATTTGATGTTATAATAATTTTTTTCCAAAAAAAAAAAAAACCCTCTGAAGTTACGAAGACTGAGAGGACATTTACTGAGACAAGTACATTTCCTTCACTGATTAAACCCCAAATTTCACAGATTCAGTTTAGTAAACTAGATTTGAAGTCACTTCACAACATTCCAGCAAAGGACATTCCAGGAAAGAGAGATAGGAAGAGTTCTGGCTAAGACAATGGACTGGTCCTAGCTCTATCGCTCTCTAGCTGTAATTATCTTGGGCAACTTTTTCTAACAAAGGGATAATACTGCTATTCACCTTGTAGGCTTATTGTGACAATTTAATGTAACCTGCTGAGCTCAGTTCCTGGTACTCAGCAAGCCCTCAAATATTATCAGTGTTCTAGTCACATTACTGGCACGGACACTTGTGAAATATTCAAAAGTGTGACTAGGACCATTTCTAGGGCATAGCGGGTTATGTACAATTCTGAACTTCAAACTTCGGAGATCCTAGCTACCCTGGTAATCAGCAGCTCAGCTGTTACTAGTTGCTGGGGGAAAAAAAGCTCAAAGGGAGCCCCTCCCTTCTACCACCAAAACAAAGTTGTGAGATTCCCCTTTATGCCCTCAGACTGCATACTTTTGTGACTCCCTTTCCCCTCAAAAGATTCCTTTCAGGCCCGGCTCAGTGGCTCATAACTGCAATCACAGCACTTTGGGAGGGTGAAGCAGGCAGATCACCTGAGATCGGGAGTTCGAGACCAGCCTCACCAACATGGAGAAACCCCGTTTCTATTAAAAATACAAAAAAATTAGCCAGGCGTGGTGGCCCTAGGTACTCGGAATCCCAGCTACTCAGAAGGCTGAGGCAGGAGTATCGCTTGAACCCGGGAGGTGGAAGTTTCAATGAGCCGAGATCGTGCCATTGCACTCCGGCCTGGGCAAGAAGAGCAAAACTCCATC